TTTCCCTGCGGTTTTCTTGAACAGGGTGTCCGCAGGGTTTAAAAAAATATTAAAAGTTGATAAATCAATTATGAGTATTTGAAAACCCTTAAAATGTAATAAAAATTCTTAATCATATTTTAAGAGGTCTTTAATTTTTGTTTAAGCGTTCTCCAAAGTGTTTGACTCCAAAAAGCATAAATGTATTTGTTTTCTTCCTAATAATAGCAACGGCGTTCTCGATCCACGTGATTGGTTCGGGCTGGGGTGTGTCCTGTGAAGCTCCCCTATCCGGGTGATGTCACGTAAATTGCGACAAACATGGGAAGGTGATGTGATGCTCTTCACATGTGGCGAAACCATAGAGCGAAACAGACGACAAAATGGGAAAATGTAAGTTTGCCAACTCGGGGTTGAAGAAAGATGAGTTTAAAAAGTGTCTAAAGCCTGTGCTGGACACAACAGTGTAATTTATTATTTAAAGCTTTGTTTCTTCCAAACTTATCTAAGTTCTGTTGCATGGTTGTGCTCTATTGATTTATTTAACTACAATTGTTTATTAACAACTGTTCATTAAGTTAGAGGTTTGATACCGGTTAGAACTTGAAGTAGCGATGAGGTTTTAAAATATTCTGAGAAGGTCATAAAAAGTCTTAAAAAGGTATTGAAATTACCTTTAGGATTCCTACATATACCCTGTTGAAACCACTTCCCAATTTGTGAAGCTTAACTTTTAGTGCTAATCACATCTGCTTCGTTCTCATCTGTTGTGCTGAATGACTTATTGAGTTTGGCTTGTGTTTTACTTTATATCCATTGACCTTATTCTTCGATGCGAATGTGGGCTCCTTTTTGAGATTGTTTTAGAACTTCCGATTCGTTTGCCTATGGGAGAAATGACTAGGAAAAATAAACAGCAGAAAATGGTCAAACTACCTGCACTACAAACACGTGTATGACTATACAGACAAAGCAGAATCATATAATAAGAAAATATTAGTTTGCAACATCAAGCAAGCTGTTTTTAACATCTAACATTGAACATTAAAATGTTGAGCCAAAAAGATTCAAATGGCTGTGCTCGCTCGTATGCTAAGAATAGCCAACATGGAACTTTTTCTTGTTTAGTTACCCAGGTGTAGGCAAGGGATGATAAGCGATTTCAAGGTATACAGCAGTTTGGGAAAGTCGCCAAAAACTGCCAACATTTTCTGTTACACTGTTCCTACGGTATACTGTATGTAGGACTTTTTTAACATTTTTGTTTTGTTTATTAGGACAACTGTATCTCCAGCAGAAAAGATATTCAAAGATGCCGTTTTAATTTGAAAGAAATCTGTGTTTTTGCAACTGATGAAGACAGCAGAAGTCAGTGATTAATTTAAATTATTTAGTAGTAATAGTAAACTGTATTGTCCTTGACAGGACATTTGTTATGGGCTTCACCATATTGCTGCAGACATTCCATAAAACAAACAATAAAAAACAATCCAAAATACAGTAGTTACAAAATTATAATCCTAATTAAGTTAAACTCTTTTTTAATAAACCCAATGGGTAGGGCCAGATGGAATCTGCAGACGTTTTTGCTATTTCTTTGGAGAATTTTGGTAAAAGTCTGTGGATTTCTGTGGAATTATTTTGAGAGTATCATAACTAAAACCTTAATATATAAAATAAAAAAACATCTTTTTAACTTTTATTTAATGTTTAAAATGCAAATCCAATTAGATTTACTTTATTTGGTAAATTAAGCAAGTTTGTCATAAGATATATCTAGTAAAAGACAGAAAATAATACTGTATAAACTGCATTGTACATAAATCAGATGGACATTTTCATATTAGTCAATACTATTACTGAAATTAATTAAAAAAACTGAATAAATATAGATTTACACACATTTACTCAAGTAAATAAACAGAATTAATGATGGGCTAAAAATCCTGTGGAAATCTGTGGAAAATCTGCAGAATTCTGTGCGCGCAGATTCCGGGTGGGCCTACCAATGGGTACAAAGGATTTCTTATATCGTTTCAACCTACACTTAGGGACTCAAGGACACTTAGGGATTTAGCCTGGCATGTTTACTGCTCCAAAATATTTTTAATGTTTCTTAAAATAAAATACACTAGTCGTATCCGAAATTGCCTACTGCTCTGTAAGTACTGCATTTGAATTTGAATTTACTACTCGACTGATAGAAAAGTATGTTCTATATAGCATGAATGTGAATAGTATAAAGCTCGGATATACCGAATACAGAAATATGATTTAAAAATATTTTGCTCGTATGAGTTTATAGGAGTGCCAAAAGTTGTGACACTTATATATTTAACAAATATCTCTTTCTCTCTCGTATACATTTGATCAGCTCACATGGAATTTTAGTTGAAATTTTATTTAAATGGTGCATGAAAGAAGCCTCATGTAAAGAAGAGATGGTATTATTTAATCTGTGATGTTTGGTGATCAGATAGGGTTTTGCAATATTTTGTATTAGTTAAAGTGCTCAGTGTATATAAGTCCACCCCTCACAAATCTATCTTTTAAATTAATATTTTACTTAGAAAGCTATACAATATTTTGTGCGTATACATTAGATTAGTCAGTACTAAAGCTAATTCTGGAGTTTATCTAGCAAAATAACTCACAATAGCGGTCAAAAACTAGCACACCCAAATTTATATGTTATAGAAAAATATTAAATACAAATCAAGAGAAGCAAAGTAATGAAAATTTGGTTTAAATTTTGTAGATTGTAATTAATTTTTTGCAATATTTTGCTTGAATTTAATTGCATTATCTTTCAATTTCTAAACATGTTTGGTGACTAAATATTATTTTAATAAATTTTTCTGTTTAATAAATCTGTTTTGTTTAAATGCACCAAAATACATTGCCTAAATTCACTGAAAATTAAAAAAAAAAAATCATTTTCAAAATGGGGTGTACTCAATTATGCTGGGCACTATATTTTGTGTAATAGTATAGTAAACATAAATGTATGTATAATAGTAGTATTTTGTTCTGTGAGGTTAATTATAGTATTTTAAAGTCATAAAGTTTCCCTCTCTTTATATATTTAACACAATATATATATATATATATATATATATATATATATATATATATATATATATATATATATATATATATATATATATATATATATATATATATATATATATATATTTCTTTTTTTTGTCATATTTTGAGCTAAACATTTTTTAAAAACTATTTAAAAAAACAATAAAAATTGGCTTACCAATAATAAAATTCACATTCTTCTTTGCTTACCAATTTGCCTGTATTAGTGGAGGGCTCTGCGGTTCCCCTCTATGTACTGAAGTTTAATATGTATGAGGCAGGGAGAGGTGAATTGGATTGAGTGTGCCGAATCGAACTGTGTCTGAGTGTGGTGGTTTGACTCTTTTTAAGAGATTGCCTCCTTTAGGTATTCACTGGTGACAGGCTTTCTTTTCATTGGGTATCATGAGGCATTTGATAAAGTCTAGACTGATATTCTCTTCAATCATTCATAATATCCCTAAAGAGGTCATTACGGCATTTAGCTTGTACCTGAGGGAGAACCTGCTCCAGGAAAAATGCTATTACATATTTGCGGCTGATGGAAAGAGCCTTGAGTTGATGTTTACAGTCAGGTTAAGTGGGATGGCAAATTTAAATGTTATCTTTCACATGCAGCATGCACATATATGTTAGCTTTACTCTTTACATGAACAACTGGCACGGTGGTTATCAAAAGTTCTGAATTTTGATGGTCGAAGGGTGATTGAATAAGATGTCCAGAGTATTGAGAAAGCTCCGGTCATCACAGGACTCTGAATGTGTGTGTGTGCCATCAGATGGCAATGATGTGTTTCTCTTTGAGTTTTTCTGAGCCACAACACAACAGCTTTCCAGCACCTTTTCCAGCCTGTCAGAAACATGTGGTAAAAAGAAGCTGCTGCTGCTGCCCAGAAGCCCTGAATGACATCAGAGGGCTGTTAGAAACACATTTGTGTCTTACTCATACAGTTATTGATGAAAATGTTTATTTTGTTATGGTGCAAATTGTTCCTGTAATTATAAATATGTAATTGTAAATATATACAAAATAGCCTATTTATTCAATAACTGCATAAGTAGACAGACAGACAGACAGACAGACGGACGGACGGACGGATGGATGGATGGACGGATAGATAGATCTAAGTTTCTACTTTAAGTTTTGTTGAACATTTATAAAGTTTAAAATAATTAGTTTTACTTTCAGTACAGTAGTGTTTTTTGTGAAATTATGACATATTAATTTCATAAATATTTATTTAATTTCTTATTCACTTCAGTTTAAATGTAAAAACATTTAGTCTATGCTGTGCATGAATTTAATTTCTAAAGAGAAATGCAAGTAACACATCAATTTATTTTAAAAGTAGAACTATTTTCAGTATTAATGTAAAACAAGATTTTTTTCCCTTTACGTTAAAAATAGTTTTACAGGGAAATTTAACAAGATAAAATACGATAACAAAATTCTGTGAATGATATTAAATTAAATGTCTTTATCAACATTATTACATCAAGTACTTGATGTAAATACATACTTCAAGCATATATGATTGTACTTTAATACTTATTTGGTATACCACTTTACAATATGGTCAGTTAATACAATAACTATAACAGTGAGCAATACATTTATGATTTTAAATACTTGTTTACAGTGCTTAATAAACATTGAGCTATATTTTTATGTTATTAGCTTAGTTGATATTTATTTATATTAGTAAAAAAATGCAGTGTTTCTGTATATTTGATATAGTATTTGATAAATTTGAAAGGATCATTATAGTTAAATGCCTTCAATGTATTTGTCAGGTTCTCTAATGTATTTAATACTGTTAACAGACAGAACTCTGTAGTTCATTGTTAACAACAATATAGACCATAAAGTTAACATCAAATGTTGTTTATTTTGTAAACATGTCACTAAAAACAAAATATGTGACATCAATGATTATTCTAATGGCTGTAAAATCTAAATACCACTAAGCTAGTAAATATGCCAAGTTGCAATAGCCTATAATAGACAATACAAAGGGATTCCCTGCTCTTTGTCTCTGTCCAGTGAAGAGGACAAAAAAGTTTAAAGATGGGGATCATGAAGACTGAAAACTTTTTGGGAAGGAATGAAAATGAAATGTTAAATGAACAAAGTACAAACAGATATCTTATTTGTGTGGATGCAGTGAACTTCATTTTCCCTGTTCAGTGGCAGCAATAAGCTAAAGTGCTCTCTTTATAATATCCTTAAAATTCAGACGAATCAGATGAGTGAAATGCAGGAAGAGTGAGAATGACCGGGTTAATTTAAGTTATTGAGCGTAATGCTCTTTAGAGCCCTGCGGCACAGGGGCACCGGGGCCAGCCTTCGGTGCTGACTGCGGAGTGAAGCCGCGGAGATGCCGCTGCCGCCGCCGCCGGTCCCTTCTTCAAGTTCGTTTCCAAGGAGGAGAGACGCGTCGCGCCAGGACTCCGCCCCCTTCTCCTGAATGCGCGAGCAGCTGCTTTCAAACCCAACTGCTCAATTCCATTCATCCTCGAGAGGGAACAAAAAAGTGGCTATTTATTAGAATACTTGTTTTGTATTGTTCCGCGTCACACAAAAGGGGCTTTATTATGTAAGAAGGAACCCTTTCGCCGGGAGAAACAATAACTTGAAATTGTCTTTAGAGTCTATAATAAATTTCATTTTCTTGTCTCTCTCCTCAGTGTGTAGTGAGTGGTGGGACTGGGAGCTGGGTATCTCTGGCCTTGGCACACTAAGTGTAGATTTTAGCAGGGATGGCGGTCTGGCGAGTGGCTTTGGCTGGTTTAGGACAGCGATAGAACCGGTAAGGACGATTTTACCTCACTGCAAATGAGGGACTTTATATAGCTAAAAACAAGACTTAGTTTGATAAAGCTATATTCTCTTCTGGCGAAAGAGTTTCTTCGGTGTCTAGTGAGAGTCTGTAAATAAATGTTCTTATGTAGAAACTTGATGTATTGAGACAGTGATGTCGCTTGACCAACTCGTTGTGAGCGGAGCAGAAGTTCGGTCCGTCAGCTCGACCTGCGCCTGAAAGCCCCTTATAACGGAGCGCGGTGACTGTCCTCAGTTGGACGGAGCTCGCATGACGTGCTGTCTGTAGCTGTTAATCGGATAACAGATATCAACGCGACATTTTTACAGAAACAGTCCGGGATGTCTTTTGGTGTTCGGTCGGTCCAGTGTTTGTAACTAGGCGCATTTTATCGGAGGACTCGGAAATAATTGTCTAAAGATTATAACAAGCGCTCGTGTTAAGCGAGAACAAATCTGACGGAACTCACCAGCTTAGCTTTTTTATTTCATTCATTTTTATATTTGACGCTTTAGAAGAAGAACCTGTTGGGCAAACCAGCTCACTGGTCCGTCAATTCAAAGAGTAGCCTATTTAAATAAATAAACTGTAAATGTTTTTTTTTTTGGTTACATAAAATTGTTTATTAATTATCTATAATAAGAAACCGATTTAAGTCAGCGTGATATTTTTTTATTAAATATCTCGTCTTAGTTTTTGTTCCCTGTTTAAAAAATTAAATAACGTTGCTAGTGTGTCTATTACTTGAAATAAACTTTTAGTTCTGATCAACAGATTGTCACTATCAATTGAATAAAAGGATTTCATCTAAAGCCCTCGTCTTACCACAGTCCTTGTTAAGTCAACCTGCTCATAACAAGATCCACACAAAGGACTTAAACAAGCAAATTAGGTTAAGCAAGTGAAAAACAAATTGCCTAAGTTTAGGATGCTTCTATGTTATATTAAAATATTAAAGTTTAAATAAAAAATGTTAAACACACATTGAAATTATTATTTCAATCAGCCTATTGTCATTTTATATTTTATTTTTTCGGTTAATTTTAATAATCAGTTTTCACTCTCTTTATGATATGTGATCATAAAATATGTACCCTAGAGCATTATATATCCCCGTCCCCTCGTCACAAAATAGCTAGATCGCAAACATCTGTGATAACCCTTAACTGTCACCTCATGTTTTTTTTTTTCTAGCAAGTACATCTTTTAAAATATTTGTATTAAAATACTATGTTTTGGAAAACTGCTGTAACCCCAGCTCTCGCACGTGCGCTAACAGTGCCCTATTGCCCCCAGCGCGCGCAAAACAAAGACTTTGTGAAGAGCGCGACACTGAAGCAAAATGAGAACTGACAAGGTGCGTTGTTCCAGGAGGGTCACAATGCGGTTTAGCGCTCTAATCCTAAGGACAATAAGATGCATTTAAAATAAATAAATAAACGTGTTATTAAATCTGCATAATCTTTACCATTAAACTAAGAAAAATATTCAATTTAGAATGAATTTCAAACAGACATTTTACGTATCTTTGTCATTGTATAGTAGCAATTAAAAACAAAAGATAATATTAGTACTTCAGTTTTCACTAATATTAGTTACATATTCTATGCAATTATTAGTCATAGTAAATGCTTTCTGTAGTCTGGGCACATTTGAAACAAAAGCAAAAAACAATTACTTTGCGAAACCTTTCATATCAATGTGATATTTTGATGGATTTATATAATAAAAAATATATTAGTTTGTCTATATGTACTGTTTTATCAACATAATTAATAAAATGGCAACATGTAGACTTCACAAAATATGTGAAAACAATTAAACCCGTGCTGCTTGTGAAATAAAACCACTGTCCAATAAATGTACTTGAAACTTTAGCCTATCTCTCTTGATTTTAATTCACATTAAAAAAAACATTAACATCCCTAAATAATATAATTTTAACATCCCTTCATAGTATATTCATATTCCTTCTTTGTCTTTGTCCCTGGAGCACAAAAGTTTTGTGGTCCAGGGTAAGTGTAAGGATTTCATGAACATTTTCTCAGTCGGTGTTGCGGTTGATTTAGCCTACATGTTATACAATTATTTTTACAGTTAAATTAAATGTATAGCCTCATTCAGAGCTCGGTTTCTTGATTGCCTTACATTCAAATGTGTTACCTTATTACCTTTTTATTTTGTGGAAAAAAAAACTTTGGGGTTCAGTTTACACAGATAAAATTTACGCAGAATAAAGTCTTAGCAGTGCACCACCAGACGGCAGTATCCTCGAATTAAGAACCTCAATTTAATGTCATATGTTGTACCACTTAAAACTGTATATTTAGCCTATAGTTTTACACACAGAATAACTTGCTCTAGTGCGATAGTGTGTTATTTTTCACCAAAAATCTGTAATCTAAAGCGAAGTGAAATAAGGGGCTTTTTACCGTTTTTATTAGTTATTTGCCATTTATGAGAAATTAATTTCGACCTGTTTGCTTTCGTTTAATAGTAGTGTAATCACAGACAATATCAACATGGCTTACAAGTGGTTGGATAGCCTAGACTTTTTTTACACAAAGATTTGGCAAGACGTCACGAGGGTGCATAGGAGCTATTACAGTTATTATAAGGAATTAGATCGTATCTTGTAATGTCATCTAAATGGATAAAATCTACCATTTGTCCTCTTGTTCATTTATTGCTACCATTGAAGAGGCTCAAACTGCTACCTCAGTATTTACTCTAGTTTAGAGGGGGCGGTGTTGACCCTTCGTGCACCCCGCCTACTAGTTCTTTCCTCGTTGTCTACGTCACTCGACCGAACTCCATGCAAATCGCTCCTCACTGGAACGCCATTGGCCGCTCGCTCATTTTAATCGCTGTCAAAACGCATCATATGGCCGCCGCTTTAACTAACTCTTCAACTCCACTAGGAAAAGTAACTCAAATGCACGTTCAATTAATGTGGATGTGAAGCGGCAGTCGGAGACGACACTAAACTGGCTACAGGAGCGAAAAGAGAGCCCGAAATTGTCAGCAAACGGTTGGGAATAAGCTGAATTCCACACTTCATCGGAGCTCCACTGGCTCGTGAAGCACCTGTTTCAAGCGGACTACGGAGCGCCGAAAGTTCATGCTTTTTCTCTGCTAGTTGAGAACTTTTAAGCCACTTGAATGTATAGCATGATGATGGAAACGGACCTTCATTCCCCGGGACCCCAAACCAACACGAACCCGGGGCAAACGGGTCCAAATTCGGGGAGCAAAGCCAATCAAGACCGCGTAAAGAGACCCATGAACGCGTTTATGGTCTGGTCTCGGGGCCAGCGCCGAAAAATGGCACAGGAGAACCCCAAAATGCACAACTCTGAAATTAGCAAAAGACTCGGTGCTGAGTGGAAGGTGATGTCAGAGGCTGAAAAGCGGCCCTTTATTGATGAGGCGAAGCGGTTGCGAGCCATGCACATGAAAGAGCATCCGGATTACAAATACAGACCGAGGCGCAAAACCAAGACCCTGCTTAAAAAGGACAAGTACTCGTTGGCGGGTGGCTTGCTCGGCGGTGCGGGTGGTGGAGTCGGGATGAGTCCTGCGGGGGTCGGCCAGAGGTTGGAGAGTCCTGGGGGTCACGGAGGCTCGGCCAGCGCTGGCTACGCGCACATGAACGGCTGGGCGAACGGCACTTACTCCGGCCAGGTGGCTGCCGCGGCGGCGGCCGCCGCGATGATGCAGGAGGCGCAGCTCGCTTACAGCCAGCACCCCGGCAGTGGCTCTCACCATCACCACGCTCATCACCATCACCCGCACAATCCTCAGCCCATGCACCGCTACGACATGACTGCACTCCAGTACAGCCCCATCTCGAACTCCCAGAGCTACATGAGCGCGTCCCCGTCCGGCTACGGTGGGATATCATACACGCAGCATCAGAACTCCAGCGTCGCGACTTCTGCCGCCATCGGCACGCTGAGCTCGCTCGTCAAGTCCGAACCCAATATAAGTCCCCCGGTTACCACGCACTCCCGAGGCCCTTGCCCCGGAGACTTGAGAGAGATGATTAGCATGTATTTACCGACCGGGGAGTCCGGGGATCCGTCTGTGCAGAGCAGACTGCATGCCTTACCGCAGCACTATCAGAGCACGACTGCCGGAGTAAACGGAACTGTCCCACTGACGCATATTTGAAACAGCTGATGGAAAGCGATGGGTAACGCGCATTCAGAAACACTCCACCAAAAATATTTACCTCTTTTTTTTTAGATTGTCATTGAACTACTTTTGTACAGAATGTTTTATGATGTTCTTGTAAATTAAAGGTAAATATTGTTTCGATTGCAGTTCGGAGAGAAACTGAGGTCTTATATCAGATGTATCACTTTCAGTGAAGCATTGTTTAAATATGACGTCTTTAAAAATGATCCTGACAGCGTTTCTGGCCTCGCCAAGAAATATGCGACACACTGTTATTCTTTAAATATTTAAGTTTCTGTGCAGATTGATTTTTAAGTTGATAATGACAAAAGTCTAGCGTGAAGAACTCAATGAAATGTTTTTGAGAGCCCATAAAGAGTTTCCTGCTTATTACATTTACCAAAACGTTTGTATACGTGAATTAATGTACCAGATTTATGTTGTAATATTTCTTGTAAATTGTGAATAAGTTTTAATATTTCAAAAGACTGGCACGTCACTGCTGCTGTACATAATTTATGACATGCATTACTGCCAGTTCAAATCTTAACCTTGCGTTGATTCATGGTCTAAATAAAATTGGAGAAAAAGTTACTCTGCTCTAAATCGGTGTAAGTTTTGTTACCTAACTCATCAGATTTTCTCATTTAATGTGTTTGGTTTACCATACTTGTCTTGTGGACACGTTCTCTTCGTTGTTTGAAGATATTTTAGGCCTATCAATCGGTTGTTAATCAGATATTAACCTTTATTTAAGACATATTTAAATTTATAATTCACAGGCTTTAACATATGCTGATGAAATCTTTAAAATATCAAAATGGAATTTCTAAGTCGGTCACATCTGACTCAGAACAGGTACTTAAATATTTTTTGTGATGAACATACATTGTTGATTTGTGTACTGTACACTCACAAACACAGACACGCAGATCTTTAATGTTGCTTTGTGTTTTTTATACCATAATTGCGGCTCCCGTGGTCTTAAAATATGTGAAAAATAATGTAAAAAAGCAAAGATAGTTTAAAAAAATAAATGTTATAATATTAATTATTAATATTGAATTTCATTAAATGCAATTATTAGAATACCGAACTTGAATGATAAATGTCACTTTCCAAATTTGCAAAATATTGTTAGTGTACTAAATGCACTGGTCTTTATGTCTCTGCTTATTTATAATTTGAATAGTTAAATTACGTTTTAATTCTGTACTTATTTTACAATTTAATTTTCCACAGTAGATTCTGAATAGTGCCTGACTTGTATAATTTTGAGTAGCCTACAGAAAACAAGCTAATTTTGTGTGTATCATATAGACGGGTTGCATTGACACCTTGCTTTGCGTGCCCCGAAATGGAATTTACTCATAAATTGTCATGAATAAAAAATTGACCATTTAGTTTAGTTAACTTGTGTTTTTATAAAATCTAACGCTTATAGTTCATTTGGTTAATTTTGATCGGATAAATGCGTTGTTTATAGCTAGATAAAATAATTCTTATAATTCACTTTCAAATGTTAAACAGTACATTAGATATTTTTGTTGAAAAATTCTGTGTAGGTTGTTTCACTAGACCCGTTTTAGTATTTAGAAGAGCCCACGTTTCTCTTTATAGACGACTTTTTCATAAACAATTCACATGATAGAGGCCCACTGAATAATCAAAACATATTTGTATTATATTTGTAACATATTGTATAGTTTCTTAAAGGAAATGTGTTTGGACGTTTTAATTTCGCATGTTATTATAATTATACTTCGAGTCGTATTGGCTGTTTATTCATGATTCCCTGTGAAAAACACCTTGTTATAAAATCTTTGTGGCTGAACATAATGTGATCTGAAACAGAAACCGAATGATGTTTAACAGTAGCTGGGATCAAACAGCAGAGACGCTGACCTCTGGGAGAGAGGGTCAAAGGTTATTACAATTACCTGCTGTCTCCCTGGGGCGAGTTTAGCAACAAGTGTCAGAAGTGCAAAGCCGCAACACATTATGACACCAGACGTCCTTTTTTCTCTTGTTGGGATGCGCATGTGGGGCCTTCAATATCTACAGCACACACGTAAAATAAATATGAAACAGAACATGTTATGTTGTGTTGAATATCTTAAAAACATCTTGAAGAATCTCGATATGCACTGACCATATTTGTATTTTATAATTAATAGTTCTTTCTTTGTGGTTTCATCCACGTTTCTTTCATGAAAACAGCTCTTCATTGATTATTAGCACACACTTTCAGTTTCCACTGCTGATAGCACACGAGAATGTCCACTCGGAAGACATTTGTGTTTATCTGCAGATGAAAAACTACACGGATTAGCACCGAAAATAGAGAGGCGGAGAACCAAGTCACGGCACTTGCCAGGTTAAAGAGAAGCGTTCTGGTAAATTTAACCAAAATAATTTACTACCCAGCCAAAAGAGGGGATGGCACGCGGAGTGGGATGGGTGAATAGGATGGGATGGAGTTCGAGGTGGGAGGGGTGGCGGTGGACTCGAACCAATAAATCGTCTCAACGTGCGATACCCTTATCTTGTAGCCACCGATATATTCTGTGCTGGGAAGCCATCAACACTGCTGGCTCGTACGAAAACTCCCGATCTCTTGCACTCGCTGTCCTAAATGGGGATAATTAGCATCACTTTATCACGCCTCTGCATATTTTCTCCCTTCTCCAAAAAACCCGGTACGCTGCTATTGGTCGATGCTCTGTCACAGAAGATTACGGAGACAGATTGCACGGAACGAATGTGCTGAACGAGATTAGGGAGGAATAGAAATAGCAACTGGGCCAATAAATTCCTCGCGAGGGCCTTATCGTGCAATTACACGTTGACATGTTTAACAATCTTGCTGCCTCTTAATCCTGCGCCCTTCCAAGAGGCGAGATGCTGCGCCGTAATTTCTGCAGCCTGCGATTCCGGAGCAGTAATTTAAGCATGTATGCAGAACGCCACGAAAAGGCAACTTTGTTCAAACTTTTATCCACCAAAAATGTTTCTGTCTTTCAGCTAATTACAAATTATTTGTTTCCCACCGTAGCCAACGTTCCCTTTTAACCACAGCTGACACAGAGCAGGGGCCCGGGTACCGTCGCATGTTAATCAGCCCCATAAGCTTCACCGCGACTTTTTTTGGGGGTCTGAATTGCGTCATTATTGCCCAGAAAGAGCAAATTCACTGGACTAATTTAGTGATGCACCCATGGGATTGCTTTTCAGAGATTTTCTTATGTTGTTGTGCATCACTGAGAATTCAATTACCATTATAAAACGACTGCTGTTCACAAAGTCTAGCCTGCTTTATCTAAATAAATAAATAAATAAATAAATAAATAAATAAAATATAGCCTTGTGCTCGCTGACCGGTCGAAGGCTGCATGAATTTCCAAGGCGCAAACTGCTTGTTTATTAAACTACCCGTTCGTACCTTAACTGTCTGTTTTGTCTTTCTCTCTCCCCCCTCTCTCTTTCTCTCGCCCTCGTGTTCGGCAGAGAGGTCTGTGTAAGGATGATTGTGAGAGACTCTGCTGGAATTTGGCAGGCCCGCTGCTTGGAGAGGCGCCCCACGCTGTGACTCCCATTCAGCGGTCCAGCGCGCTGTGAGGTTGGGAAGTTTCACTGAGCCGTGCACTCAATGGCTCCACAAAGCTGATTACAAGCCCCAGCGAATTCCTGAAGGGACCGGGCAGCCACGCAGGTGTGCGGGAAACCGGGGCAACCCTTCAGAGTTATAGTGACAAGCCGGGAGACCACACAAAAAGCAAAGAGTCCCGGGAAGCGGCCAGGGATTTGGTGGGAAAAAACACCTTAAATGTCCTCTCCCTTGTGAGCGAAAAAAGAGGAGAAACTTTCCGAAGTCCCCCATTAAACTGATGCCCAGTCTCCTCAGGACAGCGGCTGTGCTGTTAAAATCAGACACATATTTCTGTTTATTTTTGGCATATGCATTCTGAACAGTCTGGTGTGTATAGTACCATGCACGTAAAGATGGGGGTCGGGTTTAACTACGATTCATAAAACGTAAAGATCTGCTTTGCCTTACCGTGCCCAATTCTTTCTCCCTGGTGCGAAAAAAATCTACATCAATGAAGCAGACAGCGTATTTAATTAGAGCGGAGTCTAACTATCAATTACTCAGGAAAAACACAGGATCCCCAAGGACCGGTAATCAGCGCGCCAACAGTCGGCCGCGCGCTCATTACAGCCAAGCGACGGGCGGGAATAATAATCAGGGCGCGGCGACGCATCTGCCTACAGTATTTCCATCGCTTCCTGTTGCCTCTCAGAACTTGAATAACTCGACATTTTTACTCAGTTTACCCAGCGGTAGCTCTGTTGTGGACGGCTTAGTAAAAAAGGCCCACTGTCTTTTCTCTTGTAACCTTATTGTAAGAAGCTTACAGCATCATAACATAAACGGTCTTTTTGTGATATTTCATATTGCATGTTTTTATCAAAATCATAAACTCTGATTTACTACGGCGCTTTGTTTTTTCTTTTTCTTATTAAACACAATGGGCTAAAAGTCGTAGGACACATTACAGAAAACAGTAAGCTACTACTATCTACTACGGCATTACAACGTTCAGTCCACTTATACGTTCACTTAGATAATGTTTGTATATTTTAGTTTGCATTTTCAGTTCCTTCACTGTAAAAATCATGGTTGCCTTAATTTTTTAAAGCTGAATCAAATTAACTTCATGAGTCTATTGAACTTTTGTTAAACTGACATAAAACAGCTTGCGTAACTTATAAAGTTAAGTTAGAACATGATTAACTTAATTTAATAAGTTACAATGACTTATTAAAAAAAGATTAAATGACTTTCAAAAACATATTCTGTCAGGACTAATTGATCATATAATGTGTTTACAGTGTATGCTAAAGCAGATGGGACTGAAAGGATAGAGTAAATGTATAAATGAATTAATTTTTTGGTTGTTTGTGTTCTTTTGGGATTTAGGAATAAACTATCAATTCGGTTATTGACTACTGGACTTGGTTTCTAACCATGCAACTTTTTTAAACAGTAAAGGTGCCATAAAGAACCAAAAAAGGGATTTCACTGTGATCACACGGATGAACTTATTTGGTTCCACAAATAACTTTATAGTAAAAAGTTCTTTAAATGTTGGGGGAAAGCACTCTTCTTTATTGGCTTTGAAGAAACCTTTTGGGGATGAAAATGTTTCATTGGACATTAAAAGCCTGTCATGGAACCGTCAAAGCCAATAAAGAAGAATGTAGTAGAAAAACATTTGTACTTTGAGAGTTGATATTTTGTTTTCACATTACAAATTGTCGTTAGAATTGTCGTTTAAAAGTACGTGTTTTCTAGTTAGGTTTAGAGAAATACCTATGAAATATGTAACTTTTGGAGTGCAGCACCTTTCATTTAATGGACGTCAAAACACCACTAAAAGTCTTTGAGTATGGGCTTGGTTCTACTTTCTGCGCTAATCTAATCCTCCGCAGAGTCAACAAGGGCTAATTGAGACCAGCAGGGCGCAAACACCCATTTACAATCACTTTCTCCCTCGCTCTTGATTGTCCCGTTGAGTCGTTTTGCGTGAGGTTTGGGACTTGAAAGTAAGCACGTTGTCTCAATCTATAGATTATGTTGACTTTTGAGTTCTGAATTATACAAATGGCAAAGGCCTCTGAGATTTAGGCATGTTTCAGTTCCCATGCTTAGCCTTATGAATATGCTATAAATCCATTGCAGTCTTGGCCTCACCTGTGTCCTGTCACCCCTGCTGTCCTCGTGTGATTAGAGGACAAAAGCACTTACCCGGCCCGGCTATGGTAGTCAATCAACCACAACGGACTATGCTAATTGAGGGGAAAGGCGAGAGGAAGACGAACAGTGATCCCAATTGTTCGGCGAATTTCACAGCTCAGCGCAGCTGCATGCTACTGTTCTCTCCCAATACACTCTTCCTTCACTTCTAACACAACTCTACTGTAAGCCGAAGTCTGTGCGAACAGGAAGTGATTTTAAAATACTCTCGTTTTTCCCACACAAGTTGATAATTTAACGAAAAACAAAAGTCTGTGTAAGTCTAGATGAATGACGCGCACTAAAAGTTTTAGAGGAGCTGTCCAGGTCCTGAAATTCACAACACCCGCATGTTCTCTGTTGGTCTATTTCAAGAGCGATACATGTTAAAATATTAAAAATAATTGAATTATATAAATGTACTTTTTTTTTAGCATGACTTCACATAAAAGTTTCGCATGGCTTGATCAAGTTTAACCTTTTGGTGCTACCAAAAATGACGGATTTTTATTATCTTGTTTTTTTTTTTTAAGGGGATTTAATGATATGTACACCTCTTAACGTTTGAGCATAGACCATGAAAACGAAATGTCCAAGGTAAAAAAAAAATATACATCTTTTGTTGTAGATGTTTTGCAACACAGATTTACGTTTTATGTCTTTTAAAGGTACTTGGTACATGGTTTCAGCAGGTTTATGAATGAAATTTAAGACTTAAAGAAAAAAAAACACTAAGAGTTTTTTTATAATGACTAGTGGAAAATGTTTACTTGCCCCATTAAATTTCAAACCCATATATACAAACAAATGTCATTGTAAGAAATATAATTGAGCCAAACTTGTTAATTTAGAAAAAATTAACTTTTAGTAAACTTTTGTGTTAAATGGATTGTTGGTTGTACTGATTGAGCAGCTTTTAAAGCTTTTGAAATGTAAAAGACTTCGTAAGACCCAGCAGACATGCTGTGGTAGATCATACTGAAGGGGAAACATGTTTTTTAAAAAGTTAAATAAAAAGCTGATTGTTATGAACAATACACAGAATTATCATTGTCAAATCATTGTCCCAAAAAACGTTTTACTCCAAAACAGAGATTGATATCTCAAATTTGAAATTTGAGGTTGATATCTTAAACAAAAGTAGTTTTTAGTAAAATTTAGTTTTGGAGACCCAAACATTTCCAAAAGAAGTTTTTTTATTGTGTCATTTCTGATTGTGAAGAACACAAGAGTGACTATTGTTTTATTTCAGGATCATTTATGTTTTTTGCATCATATACATGATTCTCCCTCCTACATACTTCTTACACAGCAAGTGACAAAACTTTTATGTACCAGTTTCATACCTTTCTGATGAAGTAAACACTTACAAAAAGATACATTTATTTGGTCAAAAAGATAAACTGATGGTGAAAATGAATGCAGCATTTCTTGGACAAATGCAGGAAAGCCTATAAATATGTTAACTAGCCCTGCTTGTCATAGCTAATATTGTGAGCTAAAGATGTAAACACAAAAGATAACGATTAGCGCATAATAGGTAATTTATCACAAAGAAAATCAAGAAGTTGTTTATTCTGACATAAAGATTTGGAGTACGATTTTTATATGCAATTTCAGAAGCCTATTTATCTACCTCTGATCAGTCTTTGTTTTTTCTGTTTTCATTTGGCTTTCTCCCATTTCTCAGCCTGAGATCAAATATGCTCCTCCAAAACAACTTCTCGCGCATCTACAAAAAGAATGACAACTTTAACTGTAAATTACTTTTTCCTCGCATCTAGTTTGACCCATCTCACAAGGTGCCCTTCCTCTCAGCAGGGGTCAGAAAATAGGCCTGAGAATTGTTTGTGTTTTATCGCTGCTGGAGTCCCACTGTGCTTCTGTATTTTCTGATGGGATAAACTTTGACTGTGTCTGATTGTGTTGCTTTTACATCTGAAAGAGGGAGAGAGAGACAGAAAGAAACAACAATAAAAGAAGTTGATGTTTATGGATTGGTCATTGATTTTGTTGCTCTTGGCTGTATGGGCCCCCCCTTTTTTTAAATAAAGACAAGCAGGGATATGGGAGCGTGTTGAGTGGCGCAGTTTGGATCTGTAGGAGTGGATGGAGTCCGCGTGGACAGTGGCTGACAGTTGAAGTAGCTGCCCTGAGGGCTGCGTGACGGATTGGGGGCAGCGGGGTTACAGCTGATAATGACACACCCCACTGAGTGTTATTACTTAAAGACTGTGCCGGGCTGAAATGACATTGTAATGGGACGGGGCTTTTTGCCACGTTTTCACGGCACTGGGTGCTCTCACTCTGCAACTTGCTTCCCGTTTCTGTGTCCTCTTTTGTCTGCCTCTTACATGCTGTCTGTTCCTCTGTCTCTCACTTTTCCCAATTCTTTTTAGTGGTACATGCAGACTCACTTTTATGCATGCATAGGTTCCTGGCAGAATTTTGGTGCATAATTTTTTACTGTCTGAAAAGACTTGCTTCAGTGCATCTTTCATGTTTACTGAATGCATGGTCTATTTGGCTCAGATCAACATTCAGTTCCAACTTACTATGCCTCAAATGTAGTCAAGTTGTTTCTGACGATTTCCTTTAGTTTTTTTTTTTTTGCAGGCATCAGTACATGTTGTCCTTCTAAATCAGTGAATGAATGCATTTATATAGCGCTTGGACAGAGCTGCTGCGTACAGAACATATAGATTTGACTGGTTTTGAGTGCGTGTTTGCGGTTAGTTTGTGATCTGCAGTGACAAGCTCCTGGTGTGAGTAAGCTTGCACTCATATTGTGAATAATAAGCAGCTTTCTCTCTAATTGTTTCAGTTCTTACATACAGATGGACTCCCTGCGTTCATTTACAAAGACGTTTTTTTTTTTAGCCGTAGTGGTTACTTTACTGTAGTACTTAAAAACACATTAGGAGAGAGCTCAAGTCTTGGGTAAATCAGAATGAACGCACACACTCGTATACATACACACACATATGGATATATTTAGTTCGAAAACAAATGGGGCTTTCATGCTTTATTTATTTGTTTGCTTATCGATCATTAAAATACGCCCTGCTTAATGTCATTACTTCCCTAAGCAATAGATTATGACCATCATACATTTTTACACAAGATAGTGGATATATAATCAGGCATATTATTTATAACAAGAATCATTGGATGACATTTTAAAAGACTCTATTTAAGGATCACAGTGTATTAGTTATTAGTTGTCATTTTAAATCTTTATACTTTGGCACTATCCTCCAAACCAGTAGGGTTTTATACATTTGTCAGCAAATAGATAATTATTCAAAACATTAAAGAAAAAATTATAATGATCACTTGGTTGTATTTGTTTTGTTGGGTCTTTTGGTTCAGCATGTTTATGTAAATACACGGTTGTTTTAACTACTGCAGACGCAAAGCTTCATTTCAACATTTAGTTTTATACATCATCATTTTAACAAATCAATACCATTCGTGAACCCAAAGACCAGGCTTTTACTTAAAAGGTTTCGTATTTAAAGTAAATCTTCACTTTATATATAATGCGTAACCTGTCCAATAACGGCAAGAAACATTGTGTTGTTACTTTTGATAACAAACTAAGCAAAATTTTTTAAATTCTGCCTATTTTATCATGAAATTGACACTTTTTTTGAGTGGAGAGCAGAGCTCAGATGAACTGGATTAATCCTCTTTACT